CTACTATAAGTACGTATAACAATTCCCGAACTAAAGCAAGTCCGATCTAAGTCGCAACGGAAGTCGGGAACTGCGCCACCGTCAAGAATAATCTGTTCTCTTGACTGATGTAGACTATACTAACAAGCAAACTCACTCCCAACTCTTCCACTTCAGCATCGTATGTTTCAAAGTTTCGCGCAAAGAAGCTCCCATCACCATAGATCGCAGCTACACGTTTCATGTCTTCGTTCAATTTCGCGAACATAGTGTCTACATGGTTGGCCAACCTAAAAATTTTATAGAATCTGGAAAAATCAAGAAAAAATTATGCTGGAAGGATAGCAACAAAATACTTCTCGCAAGACACTGTAGGTGCTTTCAGGTCACGTTCTCCACTGTCTTCACTGCTTTCCCACTGAGCACCATGTGGTTCATTATCGTCTACAAAGGGGACGTGACTACTTTCTGACTGATATCTAAAAAAATATAGTTTATCGAGTTTTACATGGTGGTGACTTTATTTTAAAAGGAAAAACCAATATTTACTGTAAGTAAAACTTGGAAAAACAGACCTATTTTCATTGCTGCGATTAGCAAATAATTTTCGAGATGAAGCAGGACGATGATGATGGCTATTGTTGTACTTCATGGCTTCCGCACCAACAGGTATAGACGATCCAGTAGATTCCACAGGTGAGAATAAATTTTGACTGCTCATCTATGCTAACATATGCGATATTATCTAGGGATGCAATTTCTGCAATACATTTGTTCACTCAGTTAAACCAGGGCAAGGCACTAAAGCTTGAGAAAGCTAGATCCAAAATAAATATCTACACTGTTCATTTCACTATCAGACATGAATAAACTACCTATTGCAAACGATACTTGGTTCATATATTTATCCTCTCAAATTGAATGGAAGTTATGAAAGCCTTGATAAATATGTCTCGACTAAAACACGTCCTTCCCCGAAGTAAATGACCCCAGCCAAAGAATTTTTGGAACTGACGTGTAAGGCGCAATTACGTCATAAGTATGATGAGAGTTATCCAGCTATAAGAAACTTTGAGTGTAGCACGGAAGCTAGAACCTTCACTAACTTCTAATGGTGGATGATGCTTCAGCAATTCTTTTTCGAGATTGACGGACACACTCAAAAATTTCAAGGTAAGGTGTTTATCCTTTATTATATGAGGAGAAAGTATATCTTTGAAAATTTATTTCAATAATTCAGATCTATTGACAGCATATAACTGAATAAATATATATTGTCAGTTGAAAGTTCTCACCAAATAAATGATCAGAGAACCAATTATATAATTTCAGATAAAAAGAGGATATCAAAAAAGATTTGACATAGTAGTATAAAACCGTGAGAAATCAAGATTCAAAAGGAAAAGTGCTGTATGAAAACAAAAACAACAAAACAAATGAGATCTTTAAAAGAAGAAGGAAACTTGCGTCCTTACATTAATCCAAATTCACAATTTCCACCGCCTTCGTTGTCTCAGCGCTCAACTCCTTCTCAACATCAAACGAATTGACCAGTTCCTCATCCGCTTGCACCTCTTTTTCAAGCAACTGCAACAAAGAGCTAAATTAATTGATAAAAGTCAACCAAAACTATCAACGCTTACTTTATCTATATCCTCTTTCATCTCTGTGTAAAAGCTTTTGACTTTGTCAGGTGTTTTTGTGCCAAGTACCTCTGCAACTGCATCGAAATCTCTTCCATAGCGTAATAAACCTTTGAAAAGCAGTACTAAATCCAGGGAAAATCAAAGTTTCACGCAAAAACAATTCACAGTGGAATGCAATCATCCGCTCCTCCTCAGTCCAAGTGTGGCTACCTCGAATTCGATCACGACGGGAACTCCCATCCTCATCTCTTCTATCTTCTTTCGAGACGAGATGCCTGAAAAAATGGATGAAAATCCATAAAGGATTGTTTTTTCTCTGTTACCTGTACGAATCCAGGCCGTTCATAAGCCCTTCAGCTCGTTGAGCCTTTAGCGTGCATTCAAGGCGGATAGCTCTTGAGCGAACTCTCGTTAGTTCTCTCATTACAGATCTGAAGTAAACCACATGAGATTTCATATGAGATTTACTGAAATTTCCAAAGTTTACTTTGTTTCTTCGTTGCATTTTGTTTTGGGACTCTGG